AGGTGCTTAATTTCAACACCTGACCTTGCATTTTAATAACGTGACGCAACACAAAACCACGGGCAAATATTTAGCTTAGGGCATCGTACGCGGGCACGTCTGAAGGTTGGAGAATGCTTTGGTCTGGGTAAGGACACCTGAAAAGCAAACTTTTTCTGGCCGAGGGGAAGCAGGAGGCAGCTGGGATATTTTAATTGCAGTACGAGACGGCGGACCTCAGCTGCGGAGGCTCTGGATGGCGCTCAGCACCCCAGCCCCGACCCCAAACCGTGGCCTCGGAGCGTGCCGAGGCGGCCGGAGCCGTCCCCAGCGTGGGGTGGAGAGCGGCCGGAGCACGGCCAGCCCGGCTGGACCAGCCCGAGATCCCCCGGTCGCCGCGAGCAGGGCACGGGGCAGCCCTGCCGAACAAAGCCATGCCCTCCGCACCGCGACGGGCTCGTTATCTTCTAATCACCCAGCCGACTATCGCGACAGCATCCCCGGCGCGCAGCCGAGCGGGGAACGCGGTAATTACCAAATAATTGGCCACCAGAAGAAGCTCCCTCCTTCCCCGAGCAGTTGGCTCACACTCGGGCATCAAAGTTTTTCTTTCTTTCTTTCCTATTTTTTCCTTCCCTTGTGGAAAAAAAAAAGGAGGAATCCCGTCTGAACCCCGCCAAGCAAAACTCTAAATGTTTGCATTTTCCATACGATGCCTAATCCTATTTGGAATGCTTCTGAACACTTGGCCTTGATTCCGTCTTGGAGCAACGAATTTCACAGGTCACTGTGCGGCGAATAAAAAGTATTTCTTTTTGTCAGGTTGACTGAATGTCCCCTTGTTCTTTAATTATAAGGCGGGCTGAATAGGAGAGCGAGATTTACCTTCTCTGTGCTGTCCGTTATTCTGCGTTCCTCTATTTTATCGCCTCTTATTCATCTCCTCCCTCCGCAAAATCACCGCAATCTGTTCAGCCTCCCTCCACAGGAAAACCCTTCCGCGCTCGCAATCGCTCCCGCTGTTCGTCCCCGGAATCCTCCTCATTCCACTACGCTTTTCTGAGCTAGGAAAACCCAAACAGACGACCGCTCCAGGGAAGGCACACACACAAATATACGTATATAAATATATATACCCGAGTCATACGCCGCTACTGCGTCGGGTTTGGTGCCCCTTCGCAACTAAATCGTTTTTAGGGATTCTGGCACACCGAGGAGAAATCTCCCCGCGACTAGCAGAGGCATACGCTCTCCTCCCTGTATGTATACGGTGAATTGCAATTCCTTCTCCTCACCTGCCCTGCCTCGCATGTGGGACGAGCAGGGGATCAAGCCCAGCCCTCCGCAGCGCCGTGCAGCAGCAAACTGGCCGTGGAGCCGCCAGGTCCCTTTCTCTCCCCTCATCCTCGTTAACCTAAATAGCTCGACCCATCTGCAAACACCACCCAGATTGCTTCCTCGCACCCTTCCTCCATCCCACGTGTGAGTAAGCAACTCTGGTTCTGGCGTGAGGTTTGGAAGTACTACACCGACTGCCTTTTAATCCCGCTGAAGGTGGCAGTGACCGAGCCCAGCCCTGCGCCGGCGCAACGTGGCCGCTTCCGAACCGAGAGGTGCCGCGTCGCAGCTCCTGCGGGCCCGTTGCTTTTCTGCTGTGGGACCTTCAGATGCCTGCAGGCTCAAACGCGCTGCGTGAAATGGTTTTCCTTACGATTTTTGCGACATATTCAAAATAAAAAAATGAAGAGACACTTTTGTCCTTTGCAAGAGAGAAAGCAACTGCCAAAATATTTCATTTGGGAAGTGCCAGGTGCCTGCCACAGAGACCTCCACGGTGCCTGCACGGCCAAGGCCAGCGTGGCCCCCGACACCCAGCGCGGAGCCGGGCGGCAGCGCAGC